CCCCCCCCCCCCCCCCACCGCGTTACCTCTGCGCGCCGACGGCAGCGAGGAGCCGAGGAGCCGCGCGGCCGCAGCGCAGGTGTTACACGCCGCCATGGGGGTGGCCGCGCCTCTCCTGCCGCCGGCCGGGCCTCCTCCCGCGCCTCTCGACCCCCGAGTCAACAGCGGCTGCCTCCGCTCAGGCCCTTCTTCCCGGCCCCACCGTCAGTCACCTCCCTGGCGTTCGACGCCTCTGTGGCGTCACGGGGCCCCGCACGGTCACGGGGCGAACTGCAGCCCCCAGGATGCATCGCGCAGGGGCTCCGCTCAGTGCCGGATGGAATTTCGCGCGCGCTGCATCTTGGGACGTGGAGTCCGAGGCCGCGGAAGGCGTGGGGAAGAAACGAGACCTTGGCAGCCTGTAGTGAGGTAAAGCGTCGAGATGGGATTGGCTGCCTGGGAGACGCCCGTTGGAAGAGTGCATTGTGGGACTGGTGCCTTTGAGGCGCTCGCCTGCTGGGAGATGTAGTCGCCTTGCTTGTTTGTGGTTTGTAATATAGATTATTGATAACGTGAAATAAGAAGGATAAGAAGGATTTGTAATGTATCCAGTCCAGACAAGTCCAGAGACAAACGCAGAGCTTCGCTCCAAGAGACAATGGACTAATAATGTCAGGCCCCCACAGCAAGCAACGAAGTACACACTTCCAGGAAGGTTTTACTTTTATTGAAAGCTATAGATGCATTTACGAGAGCACTGTTAGGAATGGCGGGAGTTCTAGGCGCCTGAGAGGTCATAGGACATTCATATGCTAAGCACCCAATTACAGGGATTCCCGCACAACAGCTGCAAAAGCAAAACAGGTATGAGCTTCTCACAACTCATCCCGTGTAAAGGCAAAGCTACTCCTCCAGCGGCCTTGAGAGATATGCGGTACAGGAAGAGGCAATTAAGCGCAAGGGAAAAAATTGCACATGAAAGGGAAACATACATTTGGCAGCTTGCTGACATACTGCCACCCCGAAAACCAGCTTCTCCCTCCCAAAATCCAGATGTCTCCCGGTCACCCCGGGAGATGTCCCGGTTTTCCCGGGAACTCCCGGTGGAATTTGCGGATCAACTGAGGGGCCCGAGAGGTGCTGGGGTCCAAAGTCTTCCCATTCCACCAAATAAAATAGCTTTCCCCGTTTGAGCTTAGAATCCAAAATCTGAGAAATCTCATAGTGCTCCTCTCCTTCGATCAGAATAGGCGGTGGAACCGGCTGGTCCCTACGCCATGGGCAGGACCCAGTGTCTTTCTTCAGGAGGCTGAAATGAAATACAGAGTGCAAGGACCTCAGATTTTTAGGCAACTCAACATCAACAGCCACATCATTGATCACTTTGTGCACATTAAACGGCCCAATGTACTTCCACCCCAATTTCCTACTCGGACGCAACATTTTGATACTCTTAGTGGAAACAAACAAAGTCCCCAGGCTGCAGAACCCTTCTCTTGTCAGCCTGTTTCTTGTACGCCTCTTTGGCTGCATTTAAGGTTTTGCACAAAAGAGGCCAGGAATGTCTTGCACCACATCCCCGCTTCCCCAGGCCCCAAGTCAAGTGTCCCATCCAGAAAGGGAATTGGCGGGCTGTCATATCCATAAAGGACTTTGAACGGGGACATCCCTATTGACGTGTGGCAAGTATTATTGTAGCTATATTCAGCAAGAAGCAATAAATCGTTCCAATCGTCTTGTTGATAGTTTGTAAAGCAACGCAAATATTGTTCCAAGGTCTGATTAACCCTTTCCGTTTGCCCGTCAGTCTACTCCAGCGGCCTTGAGAGATATGCGGTATAGCAAAGAGGCAATTAAGCGCAAGGGACAAAATTGCACATGAAAGGGAAACATACATTTGGTAGCTTGCTGACAACTATGCGGATCCTAGCCCGCTCCAATAAGAATTAGAAGAGGAAGCAAAGATATTACTAGGCTGCAGTCCTAAACACACTCGCTAGTAAGCCTGGCTGAACTCAATGTGCATGGTTGCCAATCTCCATGGAACCACATTCTAGCGGAGTTCTCTCCTTTCCTCAAATTCCACCCTCCTTCTCATGCACCAAAACTAAATCTCCAGGAATTTCCCAAATTGAGACTGGCAGCCTGAGCTTAGTACTGCACTATTACCCTATCAACTCACGATTTTGCAAGTATTTAATTTTTTAAAAAATATACTCAGCCTTTCCCTTATGGCACAAGGGAGCTTACAATTCCAAAATCAAAAACATACAAAATACAATAAAACCCCATTAATTCCTCTCCCAAAGAAAACGCAAGTCCCCTCCTTGTACAGTAGTACATAGTAACTGAATTAGAGTAAAAACCATTTCTGTTAATGCCTAAAGCTCTAGCATTTCACACAGAGCTTATACCAGCCTTTTCCTTTGGGTGGAGCAAGAAACCAGGGGTCACAGTTAAGGGGAAAAAAAAAATCAGGCTTGGTGTCTGAAACAGCTCAGCTGTGAGTTTCATTTAAACTGAGGGCCCAAAGGTCATTTCCAGAGGGAAAAAAGCTACATTTGAGTAACACTGCAATCCTAAAAGGAGCTTTTTGTTGTTGTTGTTCAGTCGCACAGTCGAGTCCGACTCTTCTCGACCCCATGGACCAGATCCCGCCAGGCCTTCCTGTCTTCCACCGTCCTCTGAAGTTGGCTCAATTTCATGTTCGTTGCATCTATGACACCGTCTAACCATCTCATCCTTTGCCGTCCCCGTCTTCTTTGACCTTCAATCTTTAAGTCAATGGGCTTAGAACACTGTAACTCTCTTGGCAGTGCAATTCTAAACGGAATTACACTCTGGTTGGGATTGTGCTGTGTCAGTAATATAAAGTTTGCCCTCACAGCAGTGAAATTATGGGGACGAGAGCACAGATGGCATGCATACACGTAACGCAACAGTCTAAATCTGTAGCTAACTCTTCATCCTTTCTGATAAGGTACAAGCAGCAAGATCTAGTTGTCAGTAATGTCTGGTGTTCAAAGAAGAAGAGAAGAAAAGGACCCTGAAGGGGGCAGCAAGAAGACAATTAGATAGGATATGGCACCTTCTCTCTCCTGTGAAGTGTCATTCCTCGTCTCTCTCCAGATTGCTACTCTTAGGGCAATTTCCTTCTCAGATGTCCCACATTCAGTCTCCTCTCTCTCTCTCTCAAGTAGTGATGTAGTTAGGACCCTATCTCTGCCTCTCCTCTTTCTTATCCAGTATGTTAATTCCTAAATAAACCTTTAAAAAGGTAAAGGTTCCCTTACTCGAAAGCCAGTCGAATCCGACTCTTGGGTTGCGGTGCTCATCTCCGTTTCCAAGCAGCGCTGTGCGAAGACGTTTCCGTGGTCATGTGGCCGGCATGACTAAACACCGAGGCGCATGGAACGCTGTTACCTTCCCACTGAAGCGGTACCTATTTATCTACTTGCAGTTTCTTGCTTTCGAACTGCTAGGTTGGCAGGAGCTGGAACTAGAGATGGGAGCTCACTCCGTCATGTGGCACACTCAGGTCTCGAACTGCTGAACTACCGACCTTCCACAGCCTGCAGTTCAGCATCTTAACCACTTGAGCCACCGCAGCTCCTTTATCTATTCTGTAATCTGGTTGTGTACCATTGCTGTGTTAATCACTCTGCTAACAATCCAAAGCAGAGTTACACTCTTCTAATAACATTAAAATGCTGCACGCTAATTTGCTGCTCACCCTCTACCTATATGTACGAACTGGTATCTTCCATTTCAATGTATCCGGAGAAGTGAGCGTGTACATGAAAGCTTATACGCAGAATTAAACAAGGTTGGTCTTAAATGTGCTCCTGAACTCAAACATAGTTCTTTAATAGTGTATCATCATTAAGCACATTACAGCAGAGATACTCAAGAAGTGCATGCACACAAAAGCTGATACCCTGAATCAAACTTTGTTGGTCTTAAAGGAGCCACTGGACTCAAACGTCATTCTGCTGCTTCAGACCAACACGGCTACCCCACCTGAATCTACGCATAAAATTTATCATCTTAAATGTTTGGCAAGTTTTTAAAGTTGGCTTGCAGGATAATTACGTTAACTATTTTAGGGTGTTCATTACAGAAGAGATGAGTTCAATTCTACACATCACCCCCATTATCACTCCCCAAACAAAACCATTGTCATGACAACCATACAGCAGGAGTCTGAAGTTAGCATTTATTTTTTTTGCATGCCGATATCGATGAGCGAACAAACCTTTTAAAAAAGTTCTAATCCAGGAAAACTTGAGATTCAATAAAAGCTTTCTCGAGTCCTTAAAAGTGCCACTAGTAGCCTCCTTTCGGCTAACCGCTCCCTCCGAAAGCTTAAAGACTAAAAACTCTACTTTCTGCCCTCTCCCACGCCTTCCCCTCGCTTTGTCGACAGGCGCGCCGAGGAAGGGGAGGTCACATGACCTCGCCGAGGCCGCCCCCTTCTTCCGCCTCGGTAGCCATGGCGGCCCTCTGTCCCCGCCCCGTAGCGCGCGAGCGGCGATTGGCCGGGCTGGCCTTTCGCTCCCGCCCACGCGAGAGGGAATCGGGAGGGAGGGGGGCGGGGCCAGCGTGCCGCGAGACGAGGAAGCGGCGGTTGGGAAGGTACCACTGAGGGGGTAGGGGGGCTGCGTGGAGCCCCCGTTTTCTCTGGCGCTCCTCCCCCCCGACCGAAGAAGGCCCGGTGAGAAGAGGGGGGGAGCGGTGGCAGGGGGGACCCCCCTCCCCTGAAGCTATTTGTTCTGTCCCTTTATTGGGGGGGGGGGCTGTTGGGTTCTAAGAAGAGTAAAGGGAGGGGTGTCTGTCAAGGGAGGGGGGGCTGTGTTTTTTGTCATGCGCGTTGCTTTTAAAACACTGAGGGGCTCTAACAGTGGGGGGGGCAGTGCCCCCCATCTCCAGGCTAGGGGAGGGGGCAATGCTCGCTCTAAGCTGTGGAGTCCTGAGAGCAAAACTTCTGCTCTGTGAGCTGCTGGCACTGAAGTGGTGAGCAGGCGATTGGGCTGTTGCATCAGTTAGTTTGTTCAGGAGCCCTCCTTCCTGAGCTAAGGCAGATCTGTGAGCTGGAGGCTAAAAAACTCTGAGCTCGCTCACACTCACTCAGCTTAGAGGGAACACTGGCTGCCATGCTCCCTCTAAGCAGGCGATTGGGCTGTTGCATAGATTAGTTTGCTCAGGAGCCCTCCTTCCTGAGCTAAGACAGATCTGTGAGCCGGAGGCTAAAAAACTCTGAGCTCGCTCACACTCACTCAGCTTAGAGGGAACACTGGCTGCCATGCTCCCTCTAAGCAGGTGATTTGGCTGCTGCATCGATTAGTTTGCTCTGGAGCCCTCCTTCCTGAGCTAAGACAGAGCTGTGAGCCGGAGGCTAAAAAACTGTGAGCAAGCTCACACTAACTCAGCTTAGAGGGAACACTGGCTGCCATGCTCCCTCTAAGCAGGTGATTTGGCTGTTGCATCAGTTAGTTTGCTCTGGAGCCCTCCTTCCTGAGCTAAGAAAGATCTGTGAGCCGGAGGCTAAAAAACCTTGAGCTCGCTCACCCTAACTCAGCTTAGAGGGAACACTGGCTGCCATGCTCCCTCTAAGCAGGTGATTTGGCTGCTGCATCGATTAGTTTGTTCAGGAGCCCTCCTTCCTGAGCTAAGACAGAGCTGTGAGCCGGAGGCTAAAAAACTCTGAGCTCACTCATACTCACTCAGCTTAGAGGGAACACTGGCTGCCATGCTCCCTCTAAGCAGGTGATTATGACTCCGGTTGCAGGTGATTTGGCTGCTGCATAGATTAGTTTGCTGTGGAGCCGCCCCTTCCTGCGCCAAGGCAAAAACCTGTGAGCTGGAGGCTAAAAAACTGTGAGCTCGCTCACACTGACTCAGCTTAGAGGGAACACTGGCTTCAATGCTCCCTCTAAGTTGTGGAGTCCTGAGAGCAAAACTTCTACTCTGTGAGCTACTGGCATTGAAGTTGTGAGCCGGCGATTTGGCTGTTGCATAGATTAGTTTGCTCTGGAGCCCTCCTTCCTGAGCTAAGACAGAAACCTGTGAGTTGGAGGCTAAAAAAAAAGTGAGCTAGCTCACACTAACGCAGCTTAGAGGGAACACCGGGAGGGGGCAACTTGACTCTGGAATGTTTAATAGCAAATAAGGGAAAGGTCTGGTTTGGCCGTCCCTGGACCACCCCTCCCAGTTATTTCTTGGAGATTTTGGGGCTCCTTCAAAGCCTAACCACATTCTTGACTCCGGTTATTAGTTGTTACTTGTTACTTTCTCTTTTTTGCAACCAGAGTCATAAACAGCAAACCCCGATGATTGATTGATTGATTGCACTGGAATTCTAAGGAGAGCGTGTCAGCCTGTTTGCAAAACAAAGCAGGAGTCCAGTGGCATCTTGAAAGGCTAGCGACATTTTTTTTTATTTTATTTATCCTTCGACTTGATATACCGCCCTAACCCCCGTAGGGGTCTCTGGGCGGTTTACAATTCTTGGGTGCTAGTCACCTATATCGACCCTAACTACGGCCACACATTGGTACAAGGGGGGGGGGATTTCCCTACCGACACCCTGGTGAAAGCATTCCTCGGCTCGGCTCCTTCTGGCTGCACGATGTCTGGTGCTCAAGCAGACGGGGGGGTGGGGGTGGGGGTGTAGGGAATGCTGGCGACGTCGTCCTCGGCCCGACCCGACATCTATTCCAGAAGAAAGTTTGAGTCCAGGGGCACCTTTAAGACCAACGAAGTTTAATTCAGGGTATAAGTTATACCCTGAATTAAACTTGGTTGGACTTAAGAAAAAGAAGAAGAGATTGGATTTATACCCCGCCCTTCACTACCTGAAGGAGTCTTACAATTTCCTTCCCCTTTCCCTCCCCACAACAGGCACCCTGTGAGGTAGGTGGGGCTGAGAGAGCTTTTTCAAGGACTGCTCGTGAGAGACCAGCTCTGAGAGAACTTGTGACTGATCCAAAGTCACACCAGCCGCTGCTTGTGGAGGAGTGGGGACTCAAACCTGGTCCTCCCAGATTAGAGTCTGCGCTCCTAACCACGACACTAAACTGGCTTTTAAAGGTGCTGCTGGACTCAAACTTTGTTCTGCTGCATCAGACCAACATGGTGACCCACCTGAAACATCTCTTCCAGCATGAGTTATTGGGAGCTTGCTTCTTCAGGTGCTGCGAGGATCCACCGAGGGGTGGAGAGCCCCCTTCATCAAGGTCCTCAGGATCGCCATGGGATGTAGTCTGCAACGCTGGGATAAAACGTTTCTGAAGTCTGGGCACTACCGTGAAGCTCTTACTTATTTCTTTGCTGCAGCAAGCTTAGGTGACTACCGGCGTTCCCTCTAAGCTGAGTTAGTGTGAGCTGGCTCACAGTCTATTAGCCTCCAGCTCACACATTTTTGCTTTAGCTCAGGAAGGAGGGCTCCAGAGCAAACTCATTTATGCGGCAGCCAAATCGCTCGCTCACACCTTTAACACCAGGAGCTCACAGAGTAGAATTTTGCTCACAAGACTCCACAGTTTAGAGGGAGGATTGGTGGCTACTTCTCTGGGATAATTTATTTACAGTGCAATCCTAAACAGTTGCGGCCTTTTTAAGTCGATAAAGTCGGTGGGCTTTGATGGATGTAACTACTTTTTTTTTTTTTTTTGGCTGTCAACTCAAGTCACAGCTGGAAGAGTTTCAGGGCGCTTGGACACCTGGCAATTCATTTCCCTTCCTACAAAGCCTACCTAAGGAGCCCTTTCGTGGTGAAAAGCCCCATCAGGTCACAGCTGACGTACGGCAACCCTGTGGGGTTTTCAAGGCAAGAGACATTCAGAGGTGGCGTGGCATTGCCTGCCTCCGCGTCACGGCCCTGGTATTCCCTGGAGGTCCCCCATCCAGATGCTAACCAAGGCTGACCCCGCTTAGCTTCCAAGATCGGATGAGATCAAGCTCACCTGGGCAACTGCTTAGGAAAGAGTTTACTGTTTTCGGTGGCGGCTCCGACTTGGTGGAAGGAGCTCCCGGAAGAGATCCGGGCCCTGCGGCACCTCTCTCAGTTCCGCATGGCCTGCAAGACGGAGCTCTTCTGCCAGGCCTTCGAGTAGGAGGCCTCCACTATTTATGCAGCAGTTTTACGCCTCCTATTTATGCAGCAGTTTTACGCCTTACCACTATTTACGCCTCCACTATTCCACCTTTGCCCCTATGCTCTGGCGTATTAACATAATGATTGCCTGCCCCACCCCCAAGGGGGGAGCGAGGCGCCTGGGCACGGCTTAGATGATAAGATCTTAGGAAGTAGTTTGGAAATTAAGATCTACCCATCTTGTCTAAATCGGTTTGTAAATTTGTTATTGCATTTTATTGTAATTTATTGTTTTTAAGCTATGTGTTTACTGTTTTAACCTGGCACATGGTGCCCTTGTTAGCCGCCCTGAGCCTTCAGGATAGGGCGGGATATCAATTCAAATATAAATAAATAAATCGTGGAGGGGATATGGTAGAGCATCAGCTTGACGTACAGACGGTCCCAGGTCCAGCCCTTGGTATCTGCAGTAATAGCTGACGTAGAAGCAGTGCTCCCTCTAAGGTGTGGAGTGAGTGCCCCTTTGAAGGGGCCATCTGCAGGTCTTTGTGCCTGGCTATATTGAAATAATATTGACCAGGCAGCAGATTTTAATCACTTACCCTTTTGATAAAGTGAAAGGCTATCTCAGGTTAATCTGGTTTGTTGCAGCTGTAATAAAAATGCAGGGCGTGATCAGTAACTCGGAATCCAAAGAAGAGGTCAGTGTACGGCTTGTAACCCTGGATCCTTGATGTGTTGTGCAATCTATTACAGCAGTCTTGGTTCCTCGATAGGGACTCTGGGGCAAGTGATGCTCTGTCTTCTTGGTGCTTGGGGGGGGGTCAACAGTGGGAGGGCTTCTAATGTCCTGGCCCCACTGGTGGACCTCCTGATGGCACTGATATTTCTGGTCACTGTGTGATACAGAGTGTTGGGCTGGATGGGCCACTGGCCTGATCCAACATTGGCGTCTCTTATGTTCTTATGTTCCCTAAAAAGGGTCATGGAAGAGTGTGCAGAGATGCATAGCTTTTTGGGTCTTGTGATCCTGGGTCACAAGAGAGTTGCCGCTTGTGCAGAGGTGACGTGTGGAACTTGGCAATGGGGCCGAAGGATGAGCGTATAATCTGGGAGCATGTGAGGCTGTTCCGTGTGAAATAGAATTGTATAGGAGGGCCCGACAATGAGACTGTGAATTGTTCAGTTTGGTGCAGTGGTTAAGTGCGTGGACTCTAATCTGGGAGAACCGGGCTTGATTCCCCACTCCTCCACTTGCACCTGGCTGGATGACCTTGGGCAAGCCGTAGTTCTGATAAGAGCTGTTCTTGAAAAAGAGCAGTTTCTGTCAAGAGCTCTCTCAGCCCCACCTGCCTCACAGGGTGTCTGTTGTGGGGAGGGGAAGGGAAAGGAGTTTGTAAACCGCTCTGAGACACCTTTGGGTAGTGAAGGGCGGGGTATAAATCCAATCTACTACTCCTCCTTCTGGAGGGTGCTTTTTATAAAGGGAAAGTCTGAGAGAAACTCGTAATGTCTGAGGGAAACTTCAAGCACTTTTCTGTTGCTTCGTTCATGGGATGTATTATACCGGCTTCTTCACTCTTCTCCAGTTTTGTAATCCAGTTTTGTTGCCTCTTACACATCGATAGATTCTCAACGTGGCCAAGTCTGTGGATACTTAAATCTGAAGATCAGAGCCATGATTAGACAAGACAGATCTTTCTATAAACCTGAAGGAGGTCTCGGGCTTGCAGAAGAACCTATTTTTAAAACTTGGGAGTTCACCGATATAACAAATAATAGAAGCAGCAAATGTAGCTTGGCCTGGGCTGTCTTCCTTGTGGGACGGCTTCTTTTCCCACGACAACTCTGCTTAAGAACATAAGAGAAGTCAAATGTTGAATCAGGCCTTATGTCAGGAGTACCAACCTGCAAATGGGGAAAAACCCAACAACAGCCTGGACATGTGCTTTCTCCATGGTGGCTCCCGCCTGCCCGAGGAGGTCAAGAAAGCTCCCCTGCTTCCGACCTTCTGCAAACCAGTGTTCCCTCTAAGATGAGTTAGTGTGAGCTAGCTCAGTATTTTAGCCCCCCGGGTCGCACATCTTTGTCTTAGCTCAGGAAGGGATGGCTCCAGAGCAAACTGATTTATGCAGTAGCCAAATGGCTCACTCACAACTTCAATGCCAGTAGCTCACAGAGCAGACGTTTTGCTCACAAGACTCCACAGCTTAGAGGGAGCATTGCAGCCAGTGTTCCCTCTAAGCTGAGTGTGAGCGAGCTCACAGTTTTTTAGCCTCCAACTCACAGGTTTTTGCCTTTGTTCAGGAAGGAGGGCTCCAGAACAAACTAATCTATGCAGCAGCCAAATCGCCGGCTCACAACTTCAATGCCAGTAGCTCACAGAGCAGAATTTTTGCTCTCAGGACTCCACAGCTTAGAGGGAGCATTGCAGCCAGTGTTCCCTCTAAGCTGAGTGAGTGTGAGCGAGTCATAATCACCTGCTTAGAGGGAGCATGGCAGCCAGTGTTCCCTCTAAGCTGAGTTATTTATTTTATTTATTTATTTACATGAGACTTATATACCACTCATAACCCCTAATGGGTCTCAGAGCGGTTTACAGACTTTACTACTATACAGTAGTGATTGAACCTACCTAGGGCCACATTTCACAAGGGGAGTTAGTGTGAGTGAGCTCACAGTTTCTTAGCCTCTGGCTCACACATCTTTGTCTTAGCTCAGGAAGGGATGGCTCCAGAGCAAACTAATTTATGCAATAGCCAAATGGCTCACTCACAACTTTAATGCCAGTAGCTCACAAAGAAGAATTTTTGCACAACTTAGAGGGAGCATTGCCGCAAACGATGGGAAACTACATTATTCAGGAGGGCTTTTCTGTCCAGGTAATTGAGTTGGACTGTACAAAATGGTTCACAGGCTTCCTTAGAGGACTGCTGTGCGTGGCTTATTGTGAGTGTGATCTTATTATGTAATGTCTGTACTGTTTGATGTGTCATGTGACTACTTAGGCCACACTTCAGTTCTTCCTGGTGGTTTCAAACTTCTGATATCCTAAGGCACTGGGTATCGAATGTCCCGTTTCATTGGTTGTACCGACTCACTATCTGTAGTCCTGCCTTTTGAGTCCCGTTCAGAGTGGCGGACTATAAACAACATCTGTAGCCTGTAAATAAATAGATCTGAGACATTAATTTGTCGGCAACCCCACAGAATGGCAGCTGGCCGTCAAGCCTTGGTTTCTGTCTGTAAAAGGAAGGGGACGAAGCAGAGCCCTTTCCAGGGCTGTTTTGGCCCTTGAGAGAGGAGGCCAGGGCGGACGAGGAGTGGAAAAGGGCCCTGGAAAAGGGCCCCAACCAGTGTTCCCTCTAAGCTGAGTTAGTGTGAGCTAGCTCACAATTTTTTAGCCTCCGGCTCACACCTTTTTGTCCTGGCTCAGGAAGGGATGGCTCCAGAGGAAACTAATTTATGCAGTAGCCAAATCACATGCTCACAGCTTTAACGCCAGTAGCTCACAAAGTAGAATTTTTGCTCACCTGACTTCACAGCTTATCGGGAGCATTGGACCCCCAGCCTGCCCGGGATCTACCCGCCCCCCGCCCAAGGGAGGAAGCGAGAGAGGCGGAGGCATTCTTCCTGCTCTCCTCCTCAAAGGACAGATGCCACCTCGCTTGCCTCACAGGGGACTTGACCGCTGCCTAGACACAGCTGTTCTGCCACAGGGCCTGGCCCAGGTGGTGGGGGAGGCCCTGGGCCCAGTGGGGCGTGACCTGGTGCCTGTAGAAGAAGAAGAAGAGACTGGATTTCTACCTCACCCTTCACTACCCGAAGGAGTTTTAGAGTGGCTTACAATCTCCTTTCCTTTCCCCCTCCCCACAACAGACACCCTGTGAGGTCGGTGGGGCTGAGACAGCTCTTTCAAGAACCGCTCGTTTGTGACTGACCCAAGGTCACCCAGCTGGCTGCAGGTGGAGGAGTGGGGAATCAAACCCAGTTCTCCTAGTTTAGAGTCTGCTGCTCTTAACTACTACATCAAACCGGCTGTCCAAACTATAGTGGCTGCTCTGTCCCTGGGAGGGCGGAATCATAACCAGGCTTGGCAGCAACCACTGGGCATCTAGCTCCCACCTGACTTGTGCGCCCCACCCAGGACCAGCTGCTTGCTACCGTTCAACAGCAGCCACCCCACAATAGCCACGGTGGTACAGTGTTTAGAGTTTCAGATTCGGATCTGGGAGTCCCAGCCAGTGTTCCCTCTAAGGTGAGTTAGGGTGAGCTAGCTCACAGTTTTTTAGCCTCTGGCTCACACATTTTTGTCTTAGCTCAGGAAGGATGGCTCCAGAGCAGATAAATTTATGCAGTAACCAAATGGCTCGCTCACAACTTTAATGCCAGTAGCTCACAAAGTAGAAATTTTGCTCACAAGACTCCACAGCTTAGAGGGAACATTGGTCCCAGCTTCAAATCATCACTCTGCCACAGCAGCTGGCTGGGGTGACTTTGGGCCAATCACTCTCTCTCTTAAACTAGCCCACCCTTCTAGAATTGATGTGGAAGTAAAAAGGAGGAGGAGAGAACGATGTCGTAAGCTGCTCTCGTTAAGGAGGAGAGTGGGGGTATAAATGAAATAAAGAAATAATAACTATAGAGAAGATAGGGTGGCAGATAAAAGGGTGGGGGTTGGGATGGAGAGAGGGAAGCAGAGAAAGGGGATGGTACGGGGATTGCCAGGGAGAGGGGAAGAGGAAATAGTGTTAGGAGAGGGATAAAGGGAAAGCGAGGTGCTTCCCGCAGCTCTGTGCAAGTTAACCACTGCCGAGCTGGGCCTGGCTCCGCAGGACCCAGCCAGAGTTGCCAAGGTATGGGAAGGTGGGAAAGCTGAGGACAGGGCAGCTAAAGGTAGGTTAGTAAGAAGGAGAGAAGGAAGCAGGGAAAGGGGAGAGGCTATGGGGCTTTCAGGGAAGGAGGAAACATTGGGGCAGGGGAACGTGCGACGTCCCCTGCAAGTCCTCGCGGGTCCCCCACTTGTTGTTTTTCTCATTCCGTAATCTTTCAGGGGAAAAGGTAGAGTATGAAAGGAGTGAACAATAAAACAAAGAAGGGAGGGAAAATGTTACGGTCTGTGTTTTGCAGATGGGTGTCATGGTATCTTTTTGGCTTGTGTGGCTGTTGCAACTAAGTAGTGATGGTGGGAAGTACTATCAAGTCAGAGCTAATTTATGGCAGCCCTGTAGGGCAGGGGTGTCAAACCTGCGTCCTGGGGGCCGGATTAGGCCCCTGGAGGGCTTCCATCGGGCTCTCAGCGGAACTGGCCATCTCCTGCTTCCAGTTCTGCTGCTGCATCATCGCTTGCTTCGCCAGACTCTCTTAATCACTCAGCCATTGCATGTTTTAACCTGGGTCCTTGGCTCAGAACTCTGAGCATGAGATTTCTGTGGCGAATGTCAATAAATCAAAAGTAGGTTTGCAGCTTACAGAGCTAATGTTTGAAGCATGCTTTTATTTTAAGTTAAAAAAAATCTTTCTGTTTGTGTCCTTTATCAAGTTTATATCTCCGCTACCTGGCATTACCTTCTATGACACACGTGGCCCGGCCCAACAAGGGTCTCATTTATGTCAAATCCGGCCCTCATAACAAATGAGTTCAACACCCCTGCTGTACGGTTTCCAGGGCAAGAGACAGAGATGGCTTGCTGTTGCCTGCCTCCACGGAGCAATCTTTGATTTTCTTGGTGGTCTCCTATCCAAGTACTGACCCCAGTTACGAGAACGATGGTTATCCGTATGGCGTGTATCATTCACAGCTAGGCAGAACGGCTGCCTTGGCTTCTCTCCTTCCTTAAGGGATCAATCTGGAATTTATGGTCAAAATGAAAGATAAACACTACCTGTGACGCATACGTGGGGGTATTTCCCAACTCATTGTTAACACTGTGGGATTTACAGAAAGCAATATTTGCAGACTGAAAGCAGATTTGCTCAGAAATTGTCCCTTGCATACATAAGAGAGTGCGGCTGTTAAAACTGCCTTCCTTTGTCTGAAACGTTCCCTTTGTCTGTTTCAGGTATTCCTTACCTCGGGCTCGTCTCTCCATCATGGGAGAGATTAAAGTCTCTCCGGACTATAACTGGTTTAGAAGCACAGTTCCTCTGAAAAAGGTAGGCCCGTTTCATTCCCCTCAGTCCCAACACTGATCTAGCCATTGGGTGAGGATACAACAGGGTTTTGGGAGCTGCTGTATGAACCTTTTAGCTGTAAATTGAGAGCACAAAAAGCAAGAATCGGGGAGGGGGGAGAATATTTCACATTTTCAGGCACCCTGGTGTTCTACACGTTCCTAAGGTAACTGTAAAGACCTGAGCAATTATTATCCAGTTTGGTGTAGTGGTTAAGTGTGCGGACTCTAATCTGGGAGAACCGGGTTTGATTCCCCACTCCTCCACTTGCACCTGCTGATGTGACCTTGGGTCAGTCACAAGCTCTGGCACAGCTGTCCTTGAAAAAGAGCAGTTTGTGTCAGAGTTCTCTCAGCCCCACCCACCTCACAGGGTGTCTGTTGTGAGGAGGGGGAAGGGAAAGGAGTTTGTAAACCGCTCTGAGACTCCAAGTGAAGGGCGGGGTATAAATCCAATATCTTCTCTCTTCTCTTCTTCTATTCTGTGTGGTATACATGCCCTTGCTCTCCAGCTGTGCCCTGTGGAGCATCCATGACAATTACGTGTGGCTTTCAGTCAATGAGAGAAGCGCTTCTTGGTATCTGAACCTCAGAATGAGAACTGCTGGCTCTTCTTTCAGGGGGAAGGGCTGTGCTTTGGGATGATGGAAGCGGTTCTGAACAGTGGCTTCAGTGGTGGTGTGGAAGAACGAGGAGTTACATCAGGAGTCCCCAACTTCGTTGAGCCTGCGGGCACTTTTGGAATTCTTATACAGGGTGGTGGGCTCGGCCACAAAATGGCTGCTGGGGGAGGTGGAGCCAGGCCAGCCACAGAATGGCTGCTGCAGCTTACCTTCAGCCACACAGTGAAGATGGAGCAGAGGGCCATGAGTGGCTATTAGTCACAAGGCATAGATGAAACACCACCGGGGCAGTGGTGCTGTGTCTTCTTGGTGCTTGGGGGGAGCAAGAGTGGGAGGGCTTCTGGAGTTCTAGCCCTCCTGGTGGACCTCCTGATGGCCCCTGGGTGTTGGCCACTGTGTGATGCAGGATGTTGGTCTGGAGGGGCCACTGGCCTGATCCAGCATGGCTTCTTTTGTGTTCTTAGGTCTAGGGCAGTGGTGCTGTGTCTTCTTGGTGCTTGGGGGGGGAGCAAGAGTGGGAGGGCTTCTGGAGTTCTAGCCCACCTGGTGGACCTCCCGATGGCCCCTGGGTTTTGGCCACTGTGTGATGCAGAATGTTGGTCTGGAGGGGCCACTGGCCTGATCCAGTATGGCTTCTTTTGTGTTCTTAGGTCTAGGGCAGTGGTGCTGTGTCTTCTTGGTGCTTGGGGGGGAGCAAGAGTGGGAGGGCTTCTGGAGTTCTAGCCCCCCTGGTGGACCTCCCGATGGCCCCTGGGTTTTGGCCACTGTGTGATGCAGAGTATTGGTCTGGAAGGGCCCCTGGTCTGATCCAGCATGGCTTCTTTTGTGTTCTTATCCTTGTGGTGTGGTAGCAGCAGCTGCCAAAGCAACTTATTTAAATCTCTGCACAGCCAATCAAATCTCCAGTGCTCAATTAGAAATCTTGGTGGGCCTCTTCCAGTTTCTAAGAAGACTTGGTGAGCACCATGATACCCATGGCCACCTTGTTGGAGACCCCGTGTGACATGGTTTGTGTTGCTGCACTTAGAGACCGGTAGATGGGACGCAGTCCTGTTGATGCGGCCCTCTGGTGTAGGAGCCTTCCAAAAGCCCACGTCTGTCAAACCTCGTGTGTAGCGCAGAGGTTTGGAGAGTGGCCTGTGCTGAGTTTCCTTCCTGGTGGGGGTTAGTTCCCCAGGCCCAGAACAGGAGCAAATCACACTGCTTCTGCTGACAGTCATATTCTTGCATACTCTTGGATGACTGCGGGCTCACCTTTCCTGCGTCAGGTTTTGTTCTGTCATGAAGCTCTGGCTTGTTTAAGGTCCTGCTTATCAGCCTGAATTGCGCTATTGCAAAGTACTCCCATGTGGCGGGGGGGGGGGGAGAAGCCTGCAGTGTTTATGGTGCTCTGTGGTAATCCAGGTGAAATAGTGCCTGGAGCTAAACAGTAGGACTGGGTAGTCATTGTCTTGACTCAAGGGCTACGTTTCGGAGGGGTTGCCTTTCCCCACAAAAGGCCTCGGAAGGCCCCTTATGGGCTGTGCTTGCCCCTGTAGGGGTGGGCAAAAACAAATAGGCTGGTCTTGGTTGCCAGAGGCAACAGCGCACACGTTCTCGTTCCACAAACTTTCTAATACTGTGAACAACTTCCGCATGAGGGAGAGGGAAGAGGAACTATTGGAGGGCGTGAGCTGATGCAACTTTCTGGCCTTCCCTGTAACTTGAGGATGGGTTCTAGACCAGAGGCTACAGTGGCCAGGGGCCCTCGATTTTTAGTGGTAGAGAATGCCGTCGGGTTGCAGCCGACTTATAGCGATACGGTTGTAAAGGCAAGAGATGTTTCAGAGGTGGATTTCCATTGCCCGCCCCTGCATCACGACCCTGGTATTCCTTGGTGGTCTCCCATCCAAGTACTAGCCAGGGCCGACCCCATTTAACTTCCAGGATCTGACCAGATCAGGCTAGCCTGGGTGGTAGTTCAGCAGTTCAAGACCCGGGTGCCGCATGACGGAGTGAGCTCCAGTGTTCCCTCTAAGCTGAGTTAGTGTGACCTAGCTCACAGTTTTTTAGCCTCCGGCTCACACATTTTTGCCTTAGCTCAGGAAGGATGGCTCCAGAGCAAACTAACTGATGCAGCGGCCAAATCGCTCGCTCACAACTTGAATGCCAGTAGCTCACAAAGTAGAATTTTTGCTCACAAGAGTCCACAGCTTAGAGGGAGCAATCGTGAGCTCCCGTCTCCAGTTCCAGCTCCTGCCAACCTAGCAGTTCGAAAGCAAGAAATTGCAAGTAGAGAAATAGGTACCACTTCAGTGGGAAGGTAACAGCGTTCCGTGCGCCTCGGTGTTTAATCATGCCGGCCACACAACCACGGAAATGTCTTCGGACAGCGCTGGCTCTTCGGCTTTGAAACGGAGATGAGCACCGCAACCCTAGAGTTGGACTCGACTGGCTTTCGAGCAAGGGAGACCTTTACCTTTACCTAAATATCCCCACCATCTCTCTCCAAACCCTCAAAGTCCCATAGGCCTCATAGTTGTGGGATAAGATCAGGCATGGCCGGGCGTTCAGTACTTCTACCCTGATTAGCTGTGCGGTGCCTTCCCTGCCAGTCTCCGTTCTGTTGGGCCTCGGTGGTCAGCTCCAGGAATGCGGCAATAAGGGGCTTAAGTGGATCGGTCATGTGAGTGCCAAGCCGGACTTTGAGATCTGGGTTGAATGTATGGTCTCATGTGCACGGGGAGCAAAGAGGGTGAGATTGCTGTGGTCTGTAATGGCTCTGTTTATAGCCCTGATACTGCTGTCTTAATTTTGATCCGGCTGTTTCTGACTGCTTAAACCAGGGGCGCTCTTGCTTTTGATGGCCCAGCGAGATTCTTCCTTCCTTCCATGGGTACAAGTAGAATGCCTTCTTTAGGTTTAAATCTCTATTCTGCGCATGGTTCTCTGTTTAAGATACTGTTGTACTTTATAATTCTTCATGTCCTTAGAAGGAATCGTTATGATCCAGCGGTTTTATTTTCTGCAAGCATTTCCTTTCCTTGGAGTCAGATTCCAGCTCAGATAATGAGGGGGGTGTGGGTTTGTTTTTTTAACTGTTAACTTTTAAAAAATTGGATGAAAAAAATAGGTGGGTTTTCACGTTAAGAGTTACAGGCCTTAAAGGAGGAGCACTGATCGCATTTCCTTTTGGTAACAGTTGTTGGTAACTGTTAACCTTTTAAAGATTGGATGGTAGAAATAGGTGGGTTTTCACGTTAAGAGTTACAGGCCTTAAAGGAGGAGCACTGATCGCATTTCCTTTTGGTAACAGTTGTTGGTAACTGTTAACCTTTTAAAGATTGGATGGCAGAAATAGGTGGGTTTTCACGTTAAGAGTTACAGGCCTTAAAGGAGGAGCACTGATCGCATTTCCTCTCTCAGCCCCACCTACTTCACAGGGGAGGGGAAGGGAAAGGAGTTTGTAAGCTGCTTTGAGACTCTTCTCTTCTTCTCAAGGTATATTGGCCCCAGGCCGTACACGGTTGTAAGGTTTAACATCTTTGTTAAAGTAAAGGTAAAGGTTTCCCTTGCTCGAAAGCCAGTCAAATCCGACTCTAGAGGGCAGTGCTCATCTCCGTTTCCAAGCCGAAGAGCCAGCGCTGTCCGAAGACGTTTCAGTGGTCATGTGGCCGGCATGACTAGACGCCAAGGTGCACGGAACGCTGTTACCTTCCCACCTAAGCAGTACCTATTTATCTACTTACAATTTCTTGCTTTTGAACTGCTAGGTTGGCGGGAGCTCACTCCGTCACGCAGCACTCGAAGTCTCGAAGTTAAGAGTTACAGGCCTTAAAGGAGGAGCACTGATCGCATTTCCTCTCTCAGCCCCACCTACTTCACAGGGGAGGGGAAGGGAAAGGAGTTTGTAAGCCGCTTTGAGACTCTTCTCTTCTTCTCAAGGTATATTGGCCCCAGGCCGTACACGGTTGTAAGGTTTAACATCTTTGTTAAAGTAAAGGTAAAGGTTTCCCTTGCTCGAAAGCCAGTCAAATCCGACTCTAGAGGGCAGTGCTCATCTCCGTTTCCAAGCCGAAGAGCCAGCGCTGTCCGAAGACGTTTCAGTGGTCATGTGGCCGGCATGACTAGACGCCAAGGTGCACGGAACGCTGTTACCTTCCCACCTAAGCAGTACCTATTTATCTACTTACAATTTCTTGCTTTTGAACTGCTAGGTTGGCGGGAGCTCACTCCGTCACGCAGCACTCGGGTCTCGAAGTCTTAACCAGTGAGCCACTCCAGTACAGTTCAGGCAGCCACGTTTCCTGTGGCCGAGTGGCAACATGAGCCTTAGTGCGTCATGACATCTCCCTCTGTCATCCGTGCAAAAGGCTGGGCC